TTTATTTTTTTAATTCTACATGCGTTACATAAAAAAATTATAATTATTATTTCAAATAATATTCTGTTCAAATGATGATACAACTAATTTTGTCGTCTAAATTGAAGGTGCAGTTTCTGAATAGGGCAGGGGTTCTGTTCTGTGCAGTTGATTCTTCTGTCCAACTGGGTCCAAATTGCTGTAATTTGTACCGTGTGGAGACAGGCCTCGGATGCGTTTCTCAAATATTAGGCATAATCTCCGGTCGGTAGCAGCATAAAAAAGAGGGAGCATGTGTGTGTCCTTGGGGGGGGGGTTCGGGTGCCTGAAACAAATGGGTGGTGTGGTGGTGGTGGTGGTGGTGGGAGGAGACGAGTGAGTGATGAAGAAACTGAAAGGTAGGCAAATGGGTCCTCCCACAAATTCAATCTCAATCTGTAGAGTATTTTGTTATAACAGTGCATGCACTATCTTGGCCTTTCCATTCTGGGACTTCGTTAAATAATCTTCAGCTGAGTTGAGGAGGAGAAAGTGAAAGCGAAACTTGCGATTTGATGACGAGGCACTCCACCAACTGTCAACTACTCCAACAGTACTTAACAGTAACTCAAAAATCAAAAGCGGGGGCAGGGCGGTGCCCTTAACCTAACAAAACCGTCCCTCTCCTCCACTCAGTGGGGGCTGTCCAGGTGGAGCAGCAAGTACAGTACAGGAATACTAGTTTAGATATTTGAAATTCCACGTGTCGCCTCCACTCGAACTGGTCCGGTATAGGCAGTCCACAACGTGACAAGTCCCGAGCGGCCTAAGAAGTCGTTGAATTTGTTACTTCTTCCGCTCAATTCCTTCCATCTGCCCCGCCACTTCATCCCACGTACGAAACAAAACAAAACAAAATGAAACAGGCAAGGGTTGGCCACTGGCGGATTCAGGATTTGGATTTTGAAGGCAAACATAAAATATTACTTACTCTATGGTAATGGCTAGTTTTGAATTTTCACCTTCACTGGTGTACTTGATACATAGTTACCTCCCGCCTAAAAACTAAACATTTTAGAGCTCTCATAAGAAATAAACAAACTAAATTTATTTATTTATTAAAAAAAAAAATAAGAAATAAACTAACTAACTAAAAATATATATTTATTCCCCCCCCCACTAGGCACTAACTCAATTCTCATTGGTCCTTTATTCTTGACCTATTTTTCAATCTCCTTGTATTCAATGCATAAAGTTCTTTACGTCACGATTAACAATAATTCCAAACAATTTTTTTTATTGTAATTCAATAAATACTAAACTAAGATATTTACATTGATATGATTGTAATTAGTACTTTAATATATACTATTGAACTTGGACTAATGATTTTTAAATATCTCCGAGTACTTTAATTTGACAAAGTCAATATATATTCGAGTTTGGGGCGCAAGGATTAATTATCAATCTTTGGGGAGTGGGAGCAAAGGTTTAATAGGCAATATAATTTATTTAAATTTTTGGAAATATATGATATTGGATAACTTTTTTTATGTATTGTCGGTGTATAATTTTTTTATATACCAAGTTTAGTTCATATCACATAACATGAATTTAAATTTGAACCTCAAATCAGACACATGTGACATACATCTAAAACTATTGATATAAAAAAAAATATTTACTATACTGTTAGTACATAAAAGTTTAATCTTGTCATATTTGTCCACCATTCAAAATTTACCCTGTAGTAACTTTGCTAAAATGTTAAAACTTTGAAGACCTATGCCGAGTCACAATTTAAATTCTTCGACTTTATAGAAGAGCCTTTAAAAGTTTGTTTGGATTGTGATTTTTTGCAGAAAATTTTTTACGTTTTCTGTAAACGCATTTCTCAATTATCTTTTTATCTCACATACACAGGGGTGAGCAAATTCGGTACATACCGAATTCATAACCGAATTCAAATTCAATTTGGTAATTTGAAATTGGATATTTGGTAATTTGGTACAAATTTGGTACGTACCGAATTCACCGAATTCTAATATGGTATGAAATAGGTAATGAGATTATGAATTGGTAATAATCGATTTCGCATTCAAATTTGGTAAAATGAAATAGGGTACCGCATTACCGCATTCTCACACCAAATTAGTTTATAAAATTGTATAATATATAGATAAATGCTATTTAATATTAGTCTATACTACTAATATATTATTATATTATATAGGTAAATGTTATTAATAATAGTTAGTATGTGGTATTATCTTGTACTTATAATAATAATATATAATAATGTATAATATATTATTTTAGTATTTGTTAATTTTTATATAATTATAATAATACAAATATATAGTAATACCTAACAATATAACATAACTATAATACTTACTATTTTATATATGAGTAACATGACTAGAATTAGATAATAATTAATAAATATAGGTATAATACTAAATATTAAACAATAAACATAATTAGTAATTCGAATTTAGATATTGATAATTTGATACATTATTCATGTTTTCACTAATCTTAAGGTTTTTAGTATAGACAAGACAACTAAGCAGTGTAAGTGAATGCATATGAATTGCAAATCAATGTATTAGTATATTGACTTTCAAAAACATATTGTAATAAATAAGTTTTATTTTGATTTGAAATAAATTATAAGTTTGTAACTAATATAATTTATCACTAATCATTGTACAGTCTAAGATTTATTCTAATTTAAATTAATCACTTTTTATGTGTTCCTTAAATCATAGACTAAGGATTCTTGGAGCCCCAATTAAACTACAAAATGATTAGAACATAAGTAATGTGTTAAATTATGAATAAATTGGGGAATCAAATCAGTAATAATTTTTAAATCATTGAGGAGCATAATTAATGTATTATAATTTAGGAGCTCCAATTTGTAAATTAAAAATTACACAATCACTTCCTTCAGGACCATAACGAGTTATCTCATCAGTTTTTTTTTTAATAAATGAATTCGATTAGACCGAATTCATTACCATTTCCGAATTTGAAATCAGTTGCAAAATGAACTCGGTTATAGCCAATTCGAAATTGAAAGCGATTTAAATTTTATAAGTCAAATAACCGAATTCATCGAATTCAACTAACCGAATTACCGAATTTGTACCGTTTGCTCACCCCTACACATACATCAAACAATCACTTCTTTAATTCACATACATCAAATTGTTAAACTATTTTTTTTATATAAAAACTTCCAAAAATAACAATCGAACCGGATTCTTAGAATTCTTTGCATATTGGTTTGAGAAGGAATTAATTGTTTCAATATGGATTAGAGTTTACTGTAAAGTTATCAATCGATCATATTACCTGACGGAGGTCTACATTCATTAGGACACGACTAGGGGCACTGAGCGAGTTGCTTTCCTGAATTGAGTGATGTATGCTGGTAATTGCTTAGTCCCCATTGGCACTAGGACTGTTTTGACAATGCTTGCTCCAACTTGACCTTGACAAAGAGGTCAGGAAGCTTACGCGAAGCAATTTGGCCGACAAACCAACGAATCTCTCTCTCTCTCTCTCTCTGTTAAATTACATGTAAACCCCCGATCGTATTTCATCTCATCACATGGCCCTTCTAAATTTTTAAAATAGTCATGCAATCCCTATGATTTCATATAAAATGAAAACTAGATGAAGAGCACCAATAATTAGGCACTTAAGTTGGGTGCACTCAATAAATGCGTATGTATGATGAAATTATAATATCCATTTAACTCCATATGATTTGCATGAAATATGCACTTTAACGGACTTTTTAGGAGTACAAATGCCTTCTCAGATTGAAATAGTCATATCCAGACTTGATCCAAACAAGCACCATGTAGATTGAGCAAAATTTTAAAGAATCTAAACGAAAACTAATGGTAATCCAACTTATCTTGTGAAATTAAGTAGACGTCATTAGCATAAAATCTCTAAATCCAGCCGTTACCAACACTTTGCATGAAGTATGAAATTGAAGTCTAAATCCGTCAAGCGACTAAATTGTTAAGTACCAAATTTGATACATTTGCGTGTATATCATATTAATTGAAAAGTGAATAAATTATCACTTATGTTTTTGGAACAAATTTTGCTTATGCCATTTAATTAATTCAAATGTTCTATTTTCTGTTATCAAACGCATCTGAACATGTCACTAAATTTAAATACTGAATTGGGTTACAAAATAGGATATTATTCTGACTCATGTCCTTAACATGACTTCATAAAAATAATTGTTTTAAAGGTACATCATAAGGCTCCATGATGTACGACTTGATTTCTTAAATGTTTGTGGACTTTCAATGTATAATTTTTTATGCGTTGGCTATTTTTTGGACTAGTAAATATTGGTCATATCTTAGAATTTATAAGCAAGGACTTCACTATTGTCTAGAAAATGACACAATTGCATTAATAAATGCGTAATTGTATATATAATTAATTTTAATACGATTTTTCCTCCATATCCTCACCCGCTTCCAATGCTTTTTTTTTTTCTCTTCCTAACATTAGGTCCCTTCGGTAAAAGTCAATCAATCATGAATATAATGTAGCAATGTTAATAGGATGCCAAAAACCCCCCACATCGGTCGAGAATAAAGCAAAAAAACTCCATATCTTACTTGTGAGGCCCCAAAAATTCTTCTCGACTGAACTGTCTTTTAGAGGACTAGTCAGCAGGCCAAAACAAGTACCAGCACATTCACGACTCTGAACTCACATGGCCCAATGGCCTAAACCTGGGCATGCCAATTCCGACTTGAACAGCAATGATGCAAGACAGCCTGAGACGACGACGCTTCTTTTGTGGGGGATCACAAATCATTGATCCTTTTATCTGTCAAGTCCCCTACTCCTTCAGAGTTCAGACCACCACCCCATGGAGAAAAAAAAAAATCACGAGAGTCCCTTGACTTTTTTCGGAGTTTCGTAGGGAAACCCGTCTTCTTTCCCCTTTCCTTTTCCCAATATTAATAATACTTCTCTTCCAGCAGTACCTTTTACGGCTCATGGACCATTATTCATACGTACGTTTTACCACCGGCCGTGGGCACCGCATGAAAGCCAATTGGGACTCAACTATTGACCCCAACGAGCCTTCCACTGCCGTGCGGTGCACTTTTATTAGAAGCCGAATCTCCTAAATCAACCACCAAACAGCTCCCTCACTTTTCCCATTCTCATCCATAAAAAACACAAAAAAGCCAAAAACCAATCCGGAAATCTCCAGATTCTGTTGCCCGGCATTATCATGAAAACCAAAACTCTAAATTCCCCAATAAATCTACTACTACTACTACAACCCCTACCTTATCCATAATTCACAAGTGTTCCTTCTCGTCACATCCCCACCCAAACTAATCGTCAACAGCCCCAATTACTGCTTAACATTGAGCACATTATTAAAACCGAAAAAGAAAGGGGAAAAAAAAAAAGATTTTTCTTCTCTCTTTTCACGTCAACTTGTCCTTCATTATTAGGCCGGGCTTTTGTCCTTCTGTCCTCAGTTCAATTCAACCGCAATCATGTCTTCTATCTCACAGGGCCTGGTCTTGGCGACAGCAATGGCCGTCTCAGCTGGCACCATAATCCTGTTTGATCTTTGCCGTGAAAAGTATTTCCCATCGACAACCCAGTTGGCCCGTACCGAGATGCCCATCAACAAAAGCAGAATTTGAAACCCTGCTTGTCTTCAGGTACGAATATAAAATTTTCCCATCTTTCTTGGTCAACAAAACTTTCTTGAACTCTTTCTTGTTTTTTTTTCTACTTTTTGTAGTTGGTGGGAAGAGGGGGTAAATTGGTTGGAATTAAAATCGTTTGTGGGTTTTGTCTAAAATTAGGTGGAAAGAAAGGGGAGAAAAACAAGAAGAAGAGTCCAGTTTGCAGCAGATGTGAAGGAGCCAAGTAGGAACGGTGAAGACTACAGGAGGGAGCACGGTCGGAAATCAACAAGAATTCAGAGCGTTTCTTGCGGAATGCCAGCAAACCGGGTGGCTTTGTACAGTGGAATCCTTAAAGATCGGTTACAGCGTACGGAGTTTTCTTATTAATGGTCAGGGAATTCATTTTATCTTTTCGACTGTAAAATTGGAAAAGTATGAAGGGGTCTAGGTAGGGGAAGAAATTTTGGTGTTTCCCCAGTTGGTTCAAAGTTTGTAAATATGGAAAACTTGTGTAGTCCTTCGAAGTCTCAAGTGTTTTCGTTTTTTGGGGAATTTAGAAAGTTACCGCTGGCTTCCGACTGTTGAATCTCAAATTCTTCTTCTGAATCAATCTACTCTACTAACTGGTGTCCAGATTCTCTCTTCTGTTTCTCAACGACTTTTCTTATCATTTGTCTATTTATGTCTTTTTCTTACTAAAAAAATTTGGTTATTTTATTCTGAATTCAAGGTAAAAAGATGATCTTACCCCAGCAATTTTACTAATTCTGCTTCAGATCCAAAAAGTTGTGGTCTTCCTCTTCTTGGTTTGTCTTGGTTAGCGGTAAGGCCATCGATGGTTGTTCCCTACTTGCTTTACAGCCTTTTCCCCTTTTCTGGAGCTGTAAAATAAAAAGGGCAAGTTATATTTTATTTTAAGCCAATAAAAGTCTCTGTCTTTTGGTGAGTAGAAAATTGAGTTAAAATTCCATTCAAAATTTATTTGTTGCATCAGGTACGACGGCACAGAACTTAAAGATTTCTTTCTTTTTTTTTTCTTCCAACATAAACCTGAGACGCATGTAGGCGAAACTTTACCCCTCTCCTGCCCCAGTCACCATTTTAAGGCAATTCTTCTTAGTCTTCTTAATCCAAAATTCCAACAATTTCATCATTTGTATTGTGACTAATTTCACACAGTAATTTGCTATAGACTTGCTAATCACTACTAGTTATCTATGCACGCTCGTGTGAGTGCGCCTAGGAGGATGAGTTTTAAATGACATACTATATTTTTAAAATAAATAACTGAAAAAGAAAGATGCACACATGTGCATACCCCACCAATAGCATCATTATGGAAACGGCCTTGTTTGGATTGCTTGTTTCCGTCGGAAAATATTATCGTTTTCCGTAATCACATTTCCCTATCACCTTTTTCCCTCACATATATCAAATCGTTACAGTAATTTTTTCATAAAAAATGACAGAAAATGCAATTCAAACACAACCTATATGAAATCAAACAAATGTTAAAAAGAAAAAGAAAATGAAAGACAAAAAGAAACATACACTCGTCTTCTCATCTCTAAAGAGATGAACGATTTCTCTAAGCAAATCATACCATAAGAAACATCCTCATCTTCTTCTTCTCTAAAGAGACGAGAGGCCATAACACGATCAATCTTTAGTAGCTGTAGAGGTAAGAATGCATAAGTCGTAAACTTGAACATTTTTGGAAGATGTTTGGTGTCTAGCAGTTTAGTTTGATTTGTAGTGAGGAGGGGTTATAATTATGGATTCATGATTCAAGTCAGCATGAGTTTGTAGTTGTGAAAAATGTGAATAGTTTTGTAGTTCAAGATTATGGTATTTCAACAAAGTAGTTAAGGGCTTGTTTGGCACTCTCATTTTTTTTTTTCTTGCTTTTAATGGACAAGTTTTTCTAATAAAATTTGCCTGCAGAGGGCTCAAAAAACACTCCAAAATTTTAAAATACACATCTCAAAATCTCCGGCACACACTCGATTCCTTTTCTACCACCATCATTCGTAACCGTTCGTACTTTCACTAACATTACCTCTACCTCAGCCAACCATCAATGGCGGCGCCAGTCGCCGCCGCCTCAACCACTTGTATTTTTCCTTTCATTATCTCTCATTCTCTCTCTCTCTCCTATCTTCCCTTGCTCCCTCTTTCTCCTAAGAAGAGAAGGGGAAGGGAAGGAAAGGAAGGAGGGATTGTAAGTGAAGGGGGAAAGGATGAGGACGGGAAAAGGGAGAAGGAGGAGAGAAAAAAAAAAAAAAAACTGTTGAAGGCTTGATGACGATCGCGAAAGTGTTAGCTGCTGGCGATCGGCAATGAAGGTGTGAGGTTGGAGCAGCAGTGGTGGTGATAGTGGGGATGGAGAAGAATAAAAGAGAAAATAAATTGGAAGAAAAAAGGAAAGAAAAAGAAAAAATAAAACAAATTTTTATTATTTCTAAATCCTCTGTTATAAAGAAGATTTTTTCACAAATTCTATAGCAAATTACAGCAAAATTTTATACAAATACTTAAAAAACTCACCATCTGAGTCTGGTGAGTTAGGGAAAGCGCAGGTAGAAACGAACACGGACATGATAACTCTTTGGGCTAACGGGCTTTTTTTTCTTTTTTTCTTTTTGGGTACAACAACTCAAGAATAATGACCAAGTCTGCAAACCGCTGGACTTTAGCCCATTCACCACCAGAGGGGCTTAAATGCCTGTTGGGTGCAACTTGCAAGGTCCTGGGTTCTATGACACAAAGTTTTAGTAAAAGTTGAGCACATTTATTTCCTCAGGTGTTACATCTAATAGAATATATTGAAAGCAAGAAATTTTTTTGTTCCATCATATTCAATTCATTGCATTTAAACAAATCATAATTTACTTTTTTTTTATGTTAATCTTCTCTAAACAATTCATTGCATTTAAACAAATCATAATTTAAACATTTTTTTTTTTTACACAAAGCCTTGGATTCTTACACATTGGAAAAAAGAAAGGACAAAGAATTGAAGATAGAACCTTACAAAAAAAAAAAAAAGAAGGCAATTGAAAATAGAAGAACCATTACATTTTTCATTCAACCATTGGGGGAAAAAAAAGGAAAAAGGAAAAAAAAAAGAACCGGTAGATTTTCAATCGAGCCCAACGCCCCACCAGTTACCGAACAAAGAATAAAGCGTAAAAAAGTGGCATTACCTTACCTTGCAATAGAACAAGCTTGGTCGCATCATTCATTTGTGCTATCAGATAATTAGCCGATCGATTTCGGGAAAAGCGAGACTGCCCTGCCCTGAGAGATTTTCCAATTAATCTCTCTAAAAGGTCCGTCCTTTCATGAATTATTTGTTTAATTTGTGGTACTATTTTGATTTATTGCTTATTTTTGAGGTATGTGCGCGCAATTTTATGATAAAAAATGGAGCTTGTGATTTGCAGGGCGATCCCTGGGTAATCGATGTTTATGGTGGGAAAATTGCTGCGATTCGGATCAATTGTGGCTTGGATTCTTCATATGGTTGCATGCATGGGGTATATGTATATTTTTCATATTTCCCCTTTCATTTCATCATAATTTAGCTTTTTTTGCTTCTCTTTTATTCTCTTGTTTTAAAATCCTATGATTAAGGATTTCTTATATTACCGGGTTTCGGAAATGTTTTTATTGTGGAAAGGGTCAAATAGTTATGCTATATGTACGTCTTTTATTTATCTGAGCTATGAATCATTAACTCAGGAAGGCAATGAAATAGAAAATGTGATAGATTTTACCGATCAAATTGTATGATAGAAGGATATTGGTCAGGAGTAGCATAAATTCCTGAAATTTTCTTCTTCTTCTTCTTTTTTTTTTTTATAAAATTCTTCTAGTTTTGATTTTTTTTTTTTCAATTAAATTTTGTCAGTGAAAACAAGTGTTTAATCTTCTCTGAAGCTCTATAAACTGGTTTTATGGGAGTGAGTGATTAAACATTGTTTAATCTTCTCTGAAGCTATATAAACTGGTTTTGTGGGACTGAGTGATTAAACATTCCCTTTTCGCATAATGCTTCTCTGTGCATCATTTCCTGGTTTCGTGGTTAATAAATGAATTTTTTTGCTAATATTACCCTGCAATATTTTGTGGTTGCAATGTGCTACAGATGCCATGATGAAGATCACTATGTTCCCATGCAGCATTATGGGTTTATAGGAAATGTTGACATAAATTGGAACATCCTAAAGTTGTGTTTACTTCTGCATATGCAATTGCATTATGCTATATTGTTATTTCTGATTTAGTAGTAATGAGCATATATGGAAACTCAGCTTTTCCAAGTTCTGTTCTACTTAATGTTATCGTCGAGCATTTCCAAATGTCATACATAAGTTTGCATTTCCCTTGAACGAAAATTGCTGCTGTATTGGATGGTGTATATTGCAAGAAAATGTATTCTTACCGAATTGATAAATGCCATTCTTTGCAGAACAGGCGTTGTCTTGGAAGTGCTACTGAGCCAAAACTAGATTTGACGATTCATGACTCTCTTCAACAGCAGAAACCTCTAGCTGAAATACATTCAAGAATATCAAAAGCTAGCATATCTGAGAGTTTCTGGACAAACAGCAACTGTGACATGGACGTGAGTGCTGTTCAGTCGCAGGGAAGTGTATCGTCAGTTAGTAGTTCATTGACCAATTCTCATGGAGCTGGAAGTTCAAATGCTTCCTATGAATTTGTAAATCATGGAAAGTTTATCTTTGTTCCTTGCAAAATAATTTATCTTATGTTGTTTTCTCATTTACTTGTGCAACAGTGACCAAGCTATTACAAATGGTTTTAGTGAATTTTTTGAATTCTGTTAGTCTGGTGGTATTTCTTTTTCATAATCACTAACTTATGTCTTGGATGGACTTGAATTGTGTTTTAAGAGCTTATCCTCATCCTTGTTTTCCTTCTTCCTCATTTTTCTTTTCCCTTTTGCATTGACTTTACATTGTTTTCCAAACAAATCTTGGTTGATCGTCTCATTGCCAGTTTGCAAGTTTTCTAGCTAGAGGCTACTTTAGGTCTTACCTTTGGCAGGTCCTTATTATAGGTCTTCTTCTTTGGAATCAAACTAGACGGCAGTGGATAGGCAGTAGAAAGCCTGAGAAACAGATGCAGCAGCAGCGTGAGCCCAAGTTAAGGTACAATCCTTCTATATTACGCAATATCATTTAATGGGTGCATCACTTTGAGCTAATGGTTTTTTTCATGGATTTTGGCCTTTTCTCTTTATGTTAGGAAAATGTGAAGCAATGAAATGTCGTACTTAGATTTTAACTTGCAAAACGCAATATGTAGGTATCGTTGTGCAGGCATTTTTGATTTTTTGTTTATTTTGGAAAAATAAAACAGTGAAACATATTGCAGTTGTCTCAATCTCGATTACTTAAATGTGTTTTTTCACATGGTGGGGAAGGAAATTGATTTCTCTCTTCCTTTCTGAAGATTGATTATATGCCTATTTTTCAACATTTATCTCTATAAAAGGTGACGCATAACAAGAATCTGAAGCTGGTAGGACATAGATTGCTGCTAACATGCTTGACATCCCTGATGCATAGATTATCCATCCTTTAAGGTTAGGATTACTGGGGGTCCTTTTG